CTAAGTTGCATGTAGGCTTCAGATGAGAGGTCCACGAGTTGAACTTGCAATGAGATGAGGGTCCACACATAGTCAAATTGGCCTTCGCTTAGGAACTCTTTGTGAATTAGGTCCATGCTTGGCGAATTTGCTTAGGTACGCCTCTTCCTAAGTTATGGGATTATCATCTTTTTTTTTTTTTTTATTCTTCGTGTCGTAACGCAATCATGACACCGCATAGTTGAATTGTCATTATTCATATTTGGGTTCGGAACCCCAAACTTAAGACTTAGTTTTGGAGTTGAAATTTATCTTTTCTAGGGGTAACTTGCCCCCAGTGTCCTCCTTCCCTTCTTGAGACTTTGCCATGCTCATCAAAGAGGTTGTGTAGTTGTCAAAGTTACTGTGAAATTGGTACCAGGCGGACTATCCTGCAAATAAAAGTTAACTATGCACAATAGATTAGACAAATGAGCTAGTCAACTAGTTACAAGTTAGTCAATGATAAAAAGTACAGTTGCAAGAATAAATCTTAATTGACCAGTACATTCAACTAATCAGGGTCTACCCAAATCAGTTTCACAACGACAATTCCTAAACTTGAACACAACTTCATATTAGTTCATTATGCAAACAACAATGAAAAATAAATTATGAATTAAAGTGTGCTGGATTGACTAGTCAAGCCTATTAGTCAACTAAGTACAGATTCGTCAGTTGATCAAACACAAATCTATGAATCAATCTTAGTTCATTATTAGTTATCCTAATCAACAACAATTCAATTCATTGCTCATAATATGTAGTGTAAACTTTGTCGCATGCACATATCAAATAACAACTCATAGGATGCATGAAACATATGCTAGTAAATAAGATATGTGGATAAGCTTAAGAGCAAAGAACGAAAGAAGTTTTTGGCCAGAAAAATCACCTTTGGGTTAAAAACCTAGAGACTCTCCACTGAGTCCAATCCACTAATGCGAATAAGGTTATTACAAAGTACCATGCAAAGCTCAATTCATAAACCTAGTCTACGAAGAAGCTTTATCTTTGTGCAACTTTACTTTGTATGAGTTGCAGATTCCTTCAGTTTTCACGAAGTGCAGCTTCTCTTGAGCTCTTCACCTTATGGCACCAAAATGTCCTCTCCAATCTTCACAAGATGGAAACTCCTCCATAACTCTTCACTTTGTGGCACCAAGACCAACACCAACAAATGCACATGTTATGACAATGATGATAGTGTGCAATCTGGGTTCAATGACTAGTCGGTTTCCTCAGTCAAACAGTTGAAAGAAAAAACTGACATGAATCCAAAAATGGGGTCAACTTAAAGATTTGAAACTTGAAGAACTTGATCACCAAAATAAAAAAACCATGAAGACAATGCTATCCTAATATGCAATGATTGGGTGTTTGATGCATGAATATGGTTTTGTGGCTAGGGTTTCAACGAAGAACACAAGAGGTAGCTCAAAGCTAAAAACACTCTTTTTTCAGAAAATGTAAACTTCCTAGCCAAAATAAATGAGCATATAAACAAGATTTAAGCATGTAATTTCAAAGATAAATTTGTAAAAATTCAATGAAGAACATTACCCATAAAAATTGCTTAATGCTCCTAAGGGATCTGAGATGGAGATAAAAAATAAAGCTCTCTAAAATTTTTCTCTCTCAACCCAAGACAAAATGAGCCCTAGCCCCACTTTTAAAGAGAGGCATGGATATTTCAGACAAAGGGAGCAAGGAAACACGTGTCAAAAGCCAAAGTAATTGTTTCAAATCAGTGGTGAGAAAATCACACAGAAAAAAGGTGTCAGTCAGCCTATGTGGGTTGTCTTAAAGTGTGTGCCCAACAAATTGGAAAACATCACGAAGTTTTGACAAGACAAAACCACTAGATAGAATGAACCTGGAAATATAAGCATCAAATGCATATGTGTGAACAAACCTTTGATGTGAGAAGTCAAACCCTTGAGTGAATATTTCCAACAAGGGCAACCTTTTAGTGCAGAGTATGTCCTAAGACTAATTTGAGCATGTGTGTTACATATTACAATTTTGACAAGGAAAGCCAAACATAAAACTCTAGACTTCACAATCTCCCCCTTTGGCTTTCCTTGACAAAATACCCTAAGCCTAAAATAATATCACTCACCCATACTTAACAGATGAACAAAGGAACTGATCCTACAAAATAACAAAAACAAATCTTGACAAGAACAAGTGAAATTTACCATGGGTAAAAAATCACAAGGTATGAAACATAAATAAAATTTTTCTCCCCCATTTTGTCATGGTAAAAGAAAGTCAAGGTGGAAAATCACATGCAAGGGCAGTAAATAACACAATTAGATGAGCAACAAGTAAGCACAAGTCATAAAGATAATCCTGAGTAAAGCACAAGTTATGCAACTTAGTACAAAATCCTAAAAGGAGAACTACTCCCCTAAAATTAGTATTTTCCTAAAAAAACTCCCCCATAAGCAATACCTCAACAACTTTCAAGTTAAAACGCATGAGAGAAACAAAATTACGTAACTCCACCAAATAGAACTCGTCCTCAGAGATATAGTCACCCAACCTAAACTGACCCGAGATTAACTCAATCAAATTTCAATAGAATAGAGGTTCAAATACAACAAAACTAAAATAGGTCAAGTTTGCCTAACATGGTAATGAGACAAGGATGAATAGTGCACCCACATTGTTGTTTTCCAGAAGGCTTGGTTTTGGAAAGTATGGACCAAAAAGTTAAAAACCCAAAAGGCACATAAGAAAGAGAAAGCATATAATGCAAAACTTGCAGCAGCTTCAAGAGTGAAAGTTCCATTGTTGGGTCCAAGAATGTTCCAACGAAGAACGTCTAGCCAATTACGATTGAACTTACTCCAAAATTCCTTCATTTGATCATATTTTGCCCAAAGTAAATTCGCATGTTAATATAATGATTTGTATGGGGGAATAAGAATTCACTTTCAATGAAACCATCAATTATTGGAACCAAATTCATGCACATCCGCAGATGAAGGCGAGAACCAAGTTAGAATTGTCCATGATCACCAACGAGGGGAGAATGGGGTTGATTTTTTTTTTTGGGGGGGGGGGGTGTTGTGGTTTAATCCGAAAGGACTGCCTACACACCCAATCTTACTAAAATCTTGATTATGTTGCCTAATCCCTAAGATATCCTAATGACTCTAATTAGGGTTTCCTTACTTAAGAGACAAGTAACATCTTCAATGAGCTTAAGCCTAGTCTGTTTGTCTATGGTTGTCTGACTTCGCTTAGTATTCTGACTTCATCTCACTAAGGCTGGTCCAATCTGACTAAGATGCCGATAAAAGTAACTTGTTCTGATTCACATCATGCCTCTCAGCTTGTTTGCCTAATCATCATGTGCTATGGTTATTCCGTTCTTTCTTGCCACCTAAGGTACCATAGGTCTTGGCTCCAGAAAATTAAGATCCCCCACATTATACGATCCCCGTTCCTCAATGAAAGAAAATCTATTTGTGTTTTTGGAGACCTACTCTTGTAGGTGATCACATGCTCTTCTTTCTTTTTAAAGAAGGTGTCATCTAAAAAGAGATTTTCTCGTTAAGGTTTCTATATTTCATGTTCCTAAACACATTATACTCTCTTGAACCCTACCCTCATGTCCTAATTTTTTTAGCCCTAGTACGGTCAGAATACTTCTTTATTATTATTATTAATTTTTTTTTTTTTTTTGAATGTCAATTCTAACAAATTTTTAATTGCACTTGGTGGGCAAAGTAAATGGGTGTCCAGAAAGGAATTGAGTGTAAAACAAGTGATTAGGCAAATTACTTGGTGGGCAGAGTAATTAGGTGTCCAGAAAAGAATAAGCGAAATCATATATTCTTGGCGATTACGAAAAGGAAACTTATATGCTACCTCTGGCAAAACTTTCTTTTTTTGGGAAATAGTTGAGTGCAAAATACTCTGCTTACTAAGAATGGACCAACAGCGAGAGAGAGAGAGAGAGAGATTGTTTTAATTCAAACATGTTATACTATTCAACAATATTGCTTTTAAATATCCTAATCACCAACAATTTTAGCCGTGGGCCCGACCCGACATATTCCTTTTAACATACATATTCACCGCTGAGAGGACATCGGGATGAACACAAGACAAATCTTTCTGGGTTGGCTCGTGATTCTCGTCAGCTCTGCAACATTATGTACCAACCGCGGCGTGACAACCCACGTTCAACAAACAATAATTTATGCCACTCCAATGTCATCATTCGGGGATCATGATCCTATCCGAGTTCTTTTGATCAAGATTTTAGAGATTGGATCATCTTATTCGTTCATTCGTCATCGTGTGATAAAAAATTATTTTAAATTTTTATTTAAAATTTAACACAAACAAATCCCGACTATCTCGATGCCATGCAAGAGAAACTTACATCGTATATGTCATTATGGAGTTCAACGCTAATAATATAACAATAAGCATACATGTTTTTCCACATCATTGATACCAAAATAAGAAAAACTATCATCAATATGACATACCACCGTGATATATACCTGTACTATGAAAATCCTTCTCCATGTCACACACTCACCCTACTTTAAATTTATCTCAATCATCATATGCGATATGAAACACCTAATCACAAATTCAAATCACAACAATCTATGTATGAGTTTGTTTGGAAATATTTTTAAGATAAATGAAAGTGTTTTTAGAGAAAATACTTTTAGATTCTAAGAGCACTTGAAATACTTCATATAAGAAACACTAGTTATATGTCTCTTGTAGAAATGAAAGTGCTTTTTTTTTTCTTTTTTTCAAAACTCGCTTGCATTTCAACTAACGATTGATTTCAAATATATTTTTATCAAAAACACTTTCAAACGACTTATTTAGGATATTAGTGGAAAAGTAAAAAAACTTTGCAAAGCCTTTTTCTTGCCTTTTTTTTTTCCGGAAGCTTTCCCAAGCCAAAACAGGAGAGTAGAAAACAAACAAACAATGCCGTGATGCGTGGGACCCCAATTGGTTTACTACATGCCGTGACATTAAAAGCCTCAACAAACCAAAACGAACCGCACCTCTGTTTTCAGCACTGCCTCTGACCCACTCACTCTTCACTTCATCCACTGGTCTTCAAAAATCCACAATTCCCAAAAATCACAACAAAGTCACAAGCTTTTCTTCTTCTTCTTCTTCTTCTTGTGCAATGGAGGATGATGGTGAGTGGGTTCTGGTGCGGAGCCCTGCAGAGAAGGACCTGTGGACGCCATCTTTAGTGGTGGAGGAGGAGGAGAGTTCTAGGCCTCTGAAGGTCACATTTTCTGGGCCTGCAAAGCACTGGACTGATGCTATACCAATTGGAAATGGCAGGCTTGGAGCCATGGTTTGGGGTGGTGTGGCATCAGAAACTCTCCAACTCAATGGTATTAAGTTGAAAGCTTTTGATGGCATTGTGTTGATTGCGACTTCTGTTTTGTAGGGTTTTTTGTGTTTTGTGTTTCGTTTGCTTCAATTGAAATGCTTGGTGTTTTGAGTTTTTTTTTTTTTTTTTTTTTTTTTGTCCGAAAAAAAAAAAAGATTAGAGAGACCAAGAATAGGAAGTTAGAAATCTTGGAATGATTTGGCATGATTAGAGTTAGCTCGTGAGAAGACTATGGCCTGTTTGGGGTCCAGAATTGGATTGGATCCTCTCTGGATTCAGTGTCTGTGGAAGGAAGAAATGGATGTCAGACATTTAAGATGTTTGTTTAAGTAGTAGGTAGAAGATTGATTAGTAATGAAGAAAACTTAAGGGCCTGTTTAGTATTCTATTCGAAAATTCATTATTTCTCAAAACATTTCTTGAAAATAATTTTTTTTAAGACTCAAAAACTTGTTTGGTATGAGATTTAAAATTTTTAAATGTTGACACTTTAACTGGACAAAAAGATCCAAAAAGAGGGGTCGTAGGATAGGGAGAAAGGAGGAAAGCAAAGTAAGAGATGAATGAAGGAAAGAGAAAAAAGAGAAAGGATCAGAGGAGATAAAGAGGAAGAGGAGAGAGAGAAGAACCAAGAGAATAAAGAGAGAGGATTGGAGAAGAGACAAAAAAGGAGAAAAAAACAAGAGGAGGAGAGAGAAAGAAGATGAGAGAGAGAGAGAGAGAGAGAGAGAGATTCAGAGTGCGAGAGGAGGAGGGAGAGAAGAGAAAAGAGTGAGTTTAAGTTTAAAAACTCTAAAAACTCATTTTTGTGTTTTTAGAGAATATATATATGTTTCCTTTGTGAATAAACCATCTTATACTCCTTTAACTTAGACAACATTTGGAAGTTTTGCATCCATTTCTTCATTCAACTTGCAATGAGTCTAGTGAATTGTCGGATCCAATCCTAGACATCAAACGGCCTATAGGTATCAAACATGATCTAGGAAGCTTTCTTCATTTGGCTTTGTTGTAATCAGGCAGCATTATGATTGCAAATCTCCCGAGTTTGCGCATATGAATTCTCAAACAGCTTGATCCTTGGTGGATGAGAAATATGAGAGCGCAACCACAATTGAAAATAATGCTTAGGAATTAGGATTGTTTTAAAATATGTTTTTTTTCCCTAATCATCAAACGTTTATTATATGTCTCCCTCTCTCAAACACAGAGAGTAAGATTATAGTGAAACTCATTGCATGAAGTTTAAATTTCTGTAGAGGACACACTCTGGACTGGAAATCCTGGTAACTATACCAACCCAAAAGCTCCAGAGGTACTAACAGAGGTTAGAAAACTTGTTGACGATGGTAAATTTGTCGAAGCTACTGAAGCAGCCCTCAAGTTGTCAGGAGAAGCTTCTGCTGTATGTAACTTCATTAGCTTCAGTTTATACTATCCTTCTTCGTTTTTGTTTTTTACTCATTACAATGAATTGAGTTCACTATTCAAGCACATCGTAATACTGTAAAATGTGGTATGTGCAAGTCAATGGAACTACGAATTTTTGCTGATAAGTTCACGGTGGGATCTTAACTTAATAAGGTACATAGAGTACAAATATCTATCATATAGACATCTGTTTTTAAATGTCATTAGTGCTGTGCACTGTTAATGTAGTTTTAATTAAGCAGTTAACGGCTTCTTTTAATTGTTATGCAAATGCAAGCTTTATCTTACCGATGGCGCTAGATATTGGATGAGTTGCGTGTCTGTGAGGGTGCTTATATCTGAGATTAGTTTCTTGTTTGATGAAGGTTTATCAACCACTCGGTGACATCAACCTGGAATTCGGTGACTCTCATCTCAAATATGATGAAGAAACTTACAGCAGAGAGCTAGATCTGGATACTGCAACAGCAAGGATACATTACTCAGTGGGCGATGTAGAATATACGAGGGAGCACTTTTCGTCTTATCCTAATCAAGTGATTGTGACAAAGATCTCCGCTAGCAAACCAGGGTCCCTATCATTTACAGTTTCTCTAGGCAGCAAGTTACAGCATAATTCAAATGTAAATGGTAATAAGCAAATTATACTACAAGGAAGTTGTCCTGGCAATCCAAATGGGATTCTGTTTTCGGCAGTTGTTGATTTGCAGATTAGTAACGGCAGTGGTGCCATACATGTTTTGGATGACAACAAATTAAGGGTTGAAGATTCAGATTGGGCTGTTTTGCTTCTTGTGGCCTCATCATCATTTGATGGACCATTTACTAAGCCCTCTGATTCTAAGAGGGATCCAATTTCAGAGTCTCTTACTGCATTGAATTCAATAAGAAATTTTTCTTATTCGGATCTTTATGCTTATCATTTGGATGACTATCAGAATCTTTTCCATCGTGTCTCGTTGCAGCTTTCTAAGAGCTCCAAGAACAATTTAGGAGATAAAACTTTGGAGGCAAAGAAACGTATGACCAATTTGAATATAAAGGGAAGTGATGATGCCTTCGTTTCAACTGCTGACCGGGTGAAATCCTTCAAAACTGATGAAGATCCTTCCTTTGTGGAACTTTTATTCCAGTATGGCCGGTATCTGCTTATTTCTTGTTCACGGGTTGGAACTCAAGTTGCAAACCTGCAGGGTATATGGAGCAAGGATCTTTACCCTCCATGGGAGTAAGTATCTCTCTCTCTCTCCCCTCCCTACCTCCAAGGGTATCAACCTGTTTGCATGTCATACATGGCACAACTAAACTCACCCTTCCGAACATATTGCATAAACATATTACATTGACCAAGTAATTTGGCCCCCTTCTATTTGTCAGAGGTTTTAGTAATAATTTGAGGTGGTTTTTCATTACAACTTCGTACTTGCAGTGGCGCTCAGCATCTAAACATAAATCTTCAAATGAATTACTGGCCATCCCTTCCTTGTAACCTAAGAGAATGCCAGGAGCCCTTATTTGATTACACATCTTCTTTATCCATCAACGGGAGTAAAACGGCTAAGGTGGAAATTCTCCCTTTCTAGTTTAAATTCACAGCCTTAACTTTCGGTGCACTGTGCATTACTTTTCTTATTAATTCACATAGCTCATTTCAGGTGAACTATGAAGCCAGTGGTTGGGTTGTGCATCAAGTGTCTGACATATGGGCAAAAACATCACCCGATCGAGGTCAAGCTGTGTGGGCTTTATGGCCAATGGGAGGAGCCTGGATTTGTACTCATCTATGGGAACATTTTACTTATACGATGGACAAAGTGAGCTCCTACGTCTTGTTATATGTGTTGCTTATCTTATTCGAGTACGGTTTCTAGTAGGTAAATGATCACTAATTTCTCTACATCATTAGGATTTTCTAAAAAACAAGGCATATCCTTTGTTGGAAGGATGTACATCATTTCTGCTAGATTGGTTGATTGAAGGCCGTGGAGGGTATCTTCAAACCAACCCGTCAACTTCTCCAGAGCACATGTTTATTGCTCCTGATGGTAAGCAGGCAAGCGTGAGCTACTCATCAACCATGGACATATCAATCATCAAAGAAGTTTTCTCAGCAATACTTTCTGCGGCTGAGGTTTTGCTCCAATTTTGTGTTAGCAGTGATTCCTACTCAGCTATATAAACCATGGACTGTCTAACAGTAATTCTTTAAAAATCAGATTTTGGGAAAAACACAGGATGCTCTTGTTGGAAAAGTTCGTGAGGCTCAATCTCGGCTGCCACCCACAAAAATTGCTAAAGATGGTTCTATCATGGAATGGGTAAGCTAGAGATCGCACATTCCATTTTTCAGGAATTCGTTTCCAGGTCTTGTAATGTCTGATGACACACTTGTATAGAATTGCCAAATTAACTGTAAGCTAATATTGATCTCTGTAATATTGCAGGCACAAGATTTTGAGGACCCAGATATGCACCATCGACATGTATCACACCTGTTTGGCTTGTATCCAGGACATACAATAACCGTTGAGAAAACTCCATATCTCAGTAAAGCTGTCGATTATACACTCGTTAAAAGAGGTTTGTACATTGTAATTGATAACTGAATTTAGATGCCAATTGGAATGACCTGAAAAGTAGTTGTAATTGGTGTATCACGTGGAAACCAAACAACTTACGATTACATGAATCAGGATAACATTGGATGTATGGGTGACGCAGATACATTACAAATGACATTTGAAGAAAGATGATGATATCAAACTGAAAGTAGGACTTTTGACATTCAACATTACCCCTGAGGTTTGGTTTTGTTCAGGCCTTCTGCGATAGTCCAATTTAATGGCGTTACAAAAGATCACCCTACCCAAGAGTTCATCCAACGATGACTAGCTACATACATAAGACTCTTGTTTACTTCAGGAAACCCAACATGGTTCTAGAAAATGTAGAACAATAAATGAAAGTTGACATGGTTAGCAACTAAATACTGTTATATTTGTATACTTTAAAACAGGAGAGGAGGGTCCAGGATGGTCGACTACATGGAAGACTGCGTTGTGGGCACGTCTTCACAATAGTGAGCATGCATATCGTATGGTAAAGCATTTAATTGACTTGGTGGATCCAGATCACGAAAGCGATTTTGAAGGAGGACTATACGGTAACTTGTTCACTGCACATCCCCCTTTCCAGATTGACGCCAACTTTGGGTAAGCCGCATGAGTTAATTTTCTATTGAATCAGTTTCGTGATAAGTTATCTCCTTCGTATGTCTCAATTCCAACTGTTCATATGCGTCAATAGACCAGACACTTTTCTGAGTGAAAAAGATTGGTAGCTTGACAGCGATGGTAATTCTGTATCTTTTGGTGCCAGTTTTTCAGCAGCAGTTGCAGAAATGCTTGTCCAAAGCACCGTCAAGGACCTGTATTTTCTTCCCGCTCTTCCACGGGTTAAATGGGCAAACGGTTGTGTGAAAGGACTGAAAGCTCGTGGCGGGGTGACAGTCAATATATGTTGGAAGGAAGGTGACCTTCATGAAGTTGGTCTTTGGTCTAAGGACCATAACACCACGAAAATATTACATTATAGTGGAAGTACAGTTATAGCAAACATATCATCTGGCAGGATCTATACTTTCAACAGACAGTTAAAATGTTTGAGGACAACATATCTCTGAGAGCAGCATATTATCGTCAAGCTTTGAGGTTAAATTCATCCTATTGATTTATTCCCAATAAACGTGGAAACGAAGTCCCTTCTTCGTTTCTTCTTTTGTATCTGTGATTCAGTGTCATGTCCATCCATTTGTTGTGAGAAACTTTTTGAAACTGATTTTAGTTTAGCAAATGAGAGAATAATCCAAGGTGTTTTACTTGTATTATCATTAGCGACACAACAAAGAATTCTCTAAGAGTTTTATTTGTGAGTTGTCATTGGATTCTCATATGACAACCCGTTCCTAATTTTCCATGTAATTTTCTTCCTGAGTGTGTAAAATGACGATTATGCCCTTGTTGGCAAAGTAGAACCTGACGTGGACGTTGTTATTCGGCCTTTAATTTAATTGTCCTATTACTGTAGTTAAATAGTATTCGTTGTTACGAATGTGCCAACGCGAGTTAGGCCCAAATCAAATTTGTAACGATAAAGTTACTCTTAGTTAAAGTACATTAACAATGGGTAGAATTGTATACGTGTGTGCTAATTATTTAGTGTTAGAAACACTATTTTTGATAAGGAGACAGATATGTGTACAATTTATATTGTGCAATTTTGATCTCTTTCCATTTTAAAAAGGGTTCCCGTGACCCTATCTCGTCCACCAATCAATTCACTCCTTCACTTTTCTCAAACAATCAGAAACTCTCTCTCTCTCTCTCTCTCTCTCTCTCTCCCCTCTCATTCTCTCTTTCATGCCGAGTCTCTCTCTTCCCTTTGCAACAACTAAGAACACTCATCAAACCTCATGGATCGGACCTCAAATCACCACCATCATACTCCTTTCACCCCCACGAGTCCATCCATATGAGCCGATTAAAAAATGATCGAGTTTTGAGCTTCCAACTCGGAGCTCCGACTCCGATGTAGGTTCTCCAGCGATTTTCCGTTCGAGTTGCAAGGTTTTGGAAGGTCTAGATGCAATTACACAACTCTCTGAGGTCCCTAACCTAAGTTTGAAGTCAAGCCAACGTGTAAACATGCGGCTTTGGAACGTTGGAAATAAGGCTGAGACTTTTGAGGCATTTTCAGTCCATTTATGTCAACTTTTTGGACTTTTAAAAGATACAAACTTTTTCTTCTCTTCCCAAGCTTCATTTCCATATAAAGTACGTCGAAAATGGTTGAGAAATAAGGAAGATATGAAGTTTTAAAGTTTTTACAAAAAATTTGGCCAAATTTTCCACATTCCAACGAACCAGACGGCGATGACGACAACGGAGGTCTACTAGAGAAGAAGGAGGAATATTCTGTTAAGTTAACAGAATATTCTGACGCCATTAACTGACGTCGTTATATTTAACGGAATATTCTGTCAAATCTGACAGAATATTCCCTAGTGATATGTCAACGCAGGCAAGCACGTGGCCTGCGTGTGGTCGATGTGTACGGGTCCATGACGTCGCGTAGAATGTTTTCGTATATTTAAATCCTCTGTTTGAGCAAACTATGGGGGATTTTCCTAGTCTTTTCGTGTATGTCCTAATTAATTAATTACTATAGTTGTTTCGCATATAGGAGAGAATTATCTCGATGAGGTACGAGGATAAGCAAGGCTAGAAGGGTATGATCCGACTACGTATCAATGAGTGGACTTTTGGTTTTATGTATATTATATATAAAGTTTTATAGTTTCCACAATTGCTTTTGGATTGATATTATTCCTATCATGCCATGTTTTATTTAATTTTAAAATGTGCTATTATATTGTTGAGATTTATAAATTATCATGGCATGTTCATATACATTTTACCTGCTCATCATGCATGCTTGCACCGGTGTAGTACTCACGCCAGGCCAGGGCCAGGCTTCACATGTATGTTCACATTGCACCACACACTCACCTTGGATCCATTGTAGGTGCCAATCCTGTCCTAGGTTGCAATAGGCAACTCGTATGTGATGCGCCTAGCACTAGGCTTCACGTGATTGTAGTACTAGAGCGTATATTATGATACACCCAGTCCTGTTCATGTCAGAACTTATCTGCATATGCTTATGTGTTAGCATAGATTGATGAGCACTTGATTTTCTTATGCCACGATTGAGATATTATGATTTGTGTATTTCTTGAATTATTGTTGAATTCCATTTGATTTCTTACTTATATGTATTATGATTTTCTAGAAACTATACTTGTTTTACAGCGAGGGGTTAGTATGTTCAGAAAATAAATGTGTTTCATAAACCTTTGTTTTTGCCTACTCACACCTTCTGCTTTTCTGCCTTAAGACTTAGTTAGCTGAATCTTCTGTGGACTTTTGCCCAAGAAAGACAAGATTGCCCTCATTAAATGTGCAGGCTTCTCATATACTCCCACGGGCAGCTCAGCACCCTTGAAGATTTAAACAGCTAAATACGATTGCCCACAGCTCACTTGCCCATGGCAAGGAAAAGTCAAGGCACTAAAGATAAGGATTAATTACCAAATCCTATCTTTAATACATTCCCAAAGATTAACTTCATTCAAGTAAGTAATGTCTATTTGAATCAATTAGTGATATTTACATGATTATCTCAAGATATCATTTCCCATTTAATATCTTGAGAATATTATCTCCATAAACCTTGGCTAATAGGATGCCGCCATGTGTAGAGTTGATGCGAGATTTATACGCACACAAATTAAACCCTCTTTTTGTCAATTGTAGTATAAGTATAAGTAGGGATCGTTCTGAACCGGGGATTAGGAGGGATTGTTAATCTCTTGGAAACTGACTCAAAAACGTAAAAACAAGATAAAACACTAAACTAGACTGATGCGAGAATTATACGCGCACAAATTAAACCCTCTTTTTGTCAATTGTAGTATAAGTATAAGTAGGGATCGTTCTGGACCGGGGATTAGGAGGGATTGTTAATCTCTTGGAAACTGACTCAACAACGTAAAAACAAGATAAAACACTAAACTAGACTCAAAGAATGTGAAACTAAACGTTAAAACACTAAGACAAATCAAAAGACTCAAAATGCTTTAAAAACACAAACTAAATTGATTTCTGACTAAATTGAACAATAAAGTAAAGGGGGATTGGATTTGGACGACTTTAAACTAAAATGGATACTTGGAAATAAAACAAATTGTAAATATGGATTTGACGGAAATGAATGGATGGGAAGCTAGCTAAGGGGTTCATCTCCACATATGTTATACTTGCATACAAAACGATGTCTAATTGCTTTTCAATAAACCATGAATTCTCAACGCCCCGGGTTAATTAGGTCCGCTTAAATTAACCGTCAAGTTTTCCTTAAGTTAATGAATTGGATGATTGCATACGACAATCCAAAGCATTCCTCACAAGTTCCCTACATGAATTGCATAATAGAGATACAAGCAAGAATCATTAAGCATCATGAAAACTATAAGTGTTGACGAGGCATTCGTTACTATGATTGCATGAAACTTATGCCAAGAATATGTTTAACACGATTGTTTATAAGCAACCTCCACTACTTGTGAATATAAGTTCATAACTATTACGTGAAACTCACTTATATTCTAGCGTCAAATTCATGCATGAAAATTAAGCGTTCATTCTTAATAAACATACATAAATAGGTCATCAATCAAACAGTTAAACAAATTGAATTCACAACTTATGAAACGTAATTAAAAGTAATCAAATCATATTACAAACATAAACATAGTTTCGAATTACCCCCTAGCTAAAGGGGGTTTAGTTCCTCATACCTTTGAAATCAAAGAAACACCTAAACATTCCAACAACTCAAACTTGAATTGTATGAACGTTTAGGCACTCTTCTCTTCCTCGTTGTTGTAGCACAAGGTTTAAGGATAGGTTGTGTGATGGTATGAAATGGAAGGAGAAGTGTTTGTGTATTGCAATGGAAAAATGAGATGATTTGGTGAATGGAATGAATGGGTATTTATAGGAAGAGAATGGGTGTTAATGGATGTTTGTTTAAGGTATTTGGTGGATGGGAAAAGGTGTGGATGGTGGGAATTATGGTGGATGGATGGTTTAGTGGATGTAATTTAGGGTTTATTTAGGTGAATGTGGATGCATGGTTTAGTGGATGTAAAGGATAATGGGATGGTGTGGAATTAAAAGCTAAAAAAAATGGGATAATGGGCATTTAAGTGTGAATGGAATGGTGGGATGCACTAATGGAAATTATGGAATGGAATGGTGGGATGCACTAATGGAAATTATGGAATGGAATGGTGGGATGCACTAATTAGGAGGAAGAATTAGGGTGAAGGGCTTAATGCATGGATTTGGGCCTAAAATGCCCCCCCTTGCATGGCAAGGGAAAGGACTTGGGCTAAAGCCCACGGCAAGGGCTAAGGTTAGGGTTTAGGTGCTCTAAAAGCCCAAAGCCAAGAATAGAAACTCACGACAATGGAAACCTCCAAGAATAGAAACTTCCAACTTTAGAAACTTTGGTTACCAATTCCGACTTCCTTGCTCTTCACTTTCATTTCTTCATTTCTTAAGCTCCTTTGACCTTCAACCTCGTTCATTCCTCGTGCTCCATTTGCATACACCACATTCCAGCTCAGTTTTGCTCCAAAAGCTCCCAATTGCATCATTTCATGTAATATGTCCTTTAAACCTGAAAACACATGAAAGTAGCTTAAAAGACTACTTTAACGAATAAAACATAACAAAAATGCATAAGAACTAGCTAACTAAGGCGCATAAATATGCTCCTATCAAATTCCCCCACACTTAGCTTTTGCTAGTCCTCGAGCAAAACAAACAAAAGAAAGAAAACAAAACGAAACAAACTAACCAAAACCAAAAACTAAACCTTCCAACGTTCGCCTCAGGGATTTCCAATGAAACATGACATGTCAAAATTCATTACTCACATGGCTTTTAGTCTTCCTTTCCCTCAAGCACATACTTAATCATAGTCACCATTCACTAGTTCGTATTTAATCAATTAAAACATATTTTGAATGTAGTAACATGCCTTAGAGAATTCCCTCAATTCCTCACTCGTTATGCACTCAATTTTCACTCAAATTTTCTGACTACACACCCTACACTAGTTATATGTGAGAAGATTGATGTAAACATGAAAGACTAGTACTCACATACGTTATACAAAGAAAGCAATTTCGGGAGTAATTAAACGTGTATGGATATGATCTCATGAATGGGATGCTACTACTTAGATGCGAGAACCAGTGACACCATATGCTCATACCAAATTCAAAATCCACATTTGAAATGCACAACACTCAAGATAGAAGTCAAGGGTTGTAACGGGGCTTGGGGTTTTGGCTAACAAGGGAAGGTAAGGAATAACAAACGTTCTTTAAGCAATAATAAGTAAAGTAATGAAATTAAGACCTAGAATTCCCTTAGAATGCAGAAATCAACTTTTAAACAAA